GTCGAGCTCGAGCGGCTCGAGCACGAACTCGAGTCGAGCTCGAGCCTATATTTTGTCTTGTCGAGCAGCTCGTCGAGCGGCTCGAGATATACGGTAATGACAAAAATACCCTTTATTATATATATTAACATAGATGCTTAATGGTAATTTTATTTAATTTTCGAGCCGAACTCGAGCCGAGCTCAAACATTTTGATTTCGAGTCGAGCACGAGTTGAGCTCGAGCTATTGTAATTTCTTATCGAGTCGAGCTCGAGCCTAAAAAATCAAGCTCGAGCTCGAGCTCGAGTAGCTAAAAAAAATACTCAATCCTGCTCGATAACACCATTGTTCGACTCGGCTCGGCTCGTTTGCACCCCTAATTTGAGGTTTATAATGGCAAAAACCCCTGAAATTAACAAAAAAAAAAAATATCTTCACGAACTGCCCTACTGTGAAGGAGTCCAGAAACCCTTCTTCAAATTCAAAAGCCAAATCGAGTAGAAAATTGGCCATTGAGCTACTAATAATGGCGATCGCCTCGCCATCCAACCTTCTCGACGAGGCCCTCGACGGCAAAGGCGGGCGGTTGATCTTGATAGAGGACTGCGTGGAGACCAGCGGAGCATTCGTGGTGCACCACCTACTGAAGCGCGCCCTCTCCTCCGACGTCCTCACCGTTTTCATCTCCTTCGCTCACCCATATTCTCATTACGATCGAATCCTTCGGAAAATGGTACATGACTTAATCTCTCTCTCTCCCCGTCTCTCTCCGACTTCATTTGAGCTGCAAATCAGGTGTTTTTGTCTAATGTTGTGAAGTTTCGATGATTGATTTTAGCTACTCTTTTGTTTTTTTTAACTTCTCAGAGGAATTGATTTATTGGATTTGGCAGGGTTGCAACTTAAGCGTCCAGAGGGATTGTAAGAAATTGCTGTTCTTTGACATGCTTATGGCAGATAACTCCTGTGAGCACTCATGTCAAAGATTAGTATTTTCATACATTATTGTGTTTTCTTTTGGGTGGCATCTATCTATACTTGTAAATGGTGCAAAATATGCAGTAGAATAGTAAGCATGTAAATGTTTGTAGTTTTTACTTTCTGATCAATTTGGATGATGAATTAATTCGTTCGGTTATGTCGTTATCATTGTTAGATAGTGACAGAGAAAAACTCCGAGAGGATAGATTTATTTCATTATTTGGCGAGATTCAGAGAGCTGTAGAGGTTTGTTTATCACATGAAGGCAGTCGTCAGCATGTTACTTTAATGATCGATGATGTATCTCTTCTGGAAGTTGATGCTAACGGGTCATCCAACCTTGTCCTGGATTTTTTGCATTATTGCAACAGTTTAAGAGCGCAATTTGTAGGTGTCTTTTTTTTTTCTGCAATTTTGTGCATTTTCTCTGTTTCTTATATTTTTATTATGCTTTGTGATGTATGTTGCAAAATTGTTCGTTTTTCACCGTATGTGCTTGAATATAGGGTTGTTCGCTTGTTGCCCTTAACCATGATGATGTGTATTTAACTATGGATGAACCTAATCTGCTACTACATATGGAATATCTAGCGGACATGGTGATTAAAGTTGAGCCCTTGGCTACTGGTTTAGCTACCGATGTCCATGGACAGGTAAAATTTGCTTCAAGTTCGTGGGATGATGTTATTTTTTGTGCTTTATGAGTTATTTTCTAGTTGCTTACTTTATGTTGATGATAGGTCTCGTACCTTTTTTCTCGAAATGATTGTAAATATATATATTATGTTGAACGAGATTTTCAATGAAAGGAAGAATTTATATTTCCTACTCCACTAGAATGGACCTGGCCAAAAAGTTGAATTGGTTTTATTAATGTCAATGAAGAAATATTCATATATCAGTAGATCTAAGGCCAGCTTTTGGAATTTCTATGATTGTAGCGAATTACTCCTCCAATTCTATAAGTTTGTACTTAATTATTGCACCCATTTATCAACTAGGAAATTCCAAGAGAAGTCACTCGCTCGACCTAATGAATCTTCATTCTTTAATTTTTTGTGGACAGTTGACTGTTACTAACAGAGGACTTGAGGATGGCAAAACGAGGAACAAAGTTCAAAACTTCCATTTTAGGGTTAAGGATAGTGGTGCTGAATATTTCTATCCAGGGAGCAAGGGCTTTAAGTGATTGACAATGTAAGTGATTGATAAAACATCATGCTATGATCTTTTATACAGATAACTACTAACGACGCCACTATATAATTATTATAGTATGATCATTTATACAGATAACTACTAACGCATCGCATGCTATCACTTAATAGATCAGTCATTACGTATTTTGTATACAAATTAGATGAACTCTTGTTTTGTTCCGTTTCATTAGCTACAAGATGGACCTATGCTATCACTTAATAGATCGTCATTACGTATTTTGTATACAAATTAGATGAACTCTTGTTTTGTTCCGTTTTCATTAGCTACAAGATGGAAAAGGTCGGTGAGAACTCTCTGCAGAAAGCTCATTGCAGAAAGCTCATCACAGATGCCGGCGTAAGAAGCATGATGTGAAAATGGTTGATACCCTAAGGTAGAGAAAAATATATAGAGAAAGTGTGAGGCCTTTTTTGATAATATGTAGAGTTGTTTCCATCTATCATCCATGGTCATCATTTTTTGTTTCTGTCGAGATTCAACTTCTTGTCGTTGAAGCTCGCCTCAAATTGAAACACTTCTTATCGAAATAGGTTATCTTTTCTTTTCTTTTCTTTTTTTATTTTTTATTTTTTATTTTTTTCAACCAAAAGACAGTGGGATTTGGATTGTATATGTAAATGCATTGTGTCTTGATTCTATTTTCCAAACTTAATTTCTTCTTGTATACAAACGGAATATGTCATCTTTTAGTCATTAGTTTTTAGTGTCTTGTTTATGCATCATTTTTGGCTAATAAGGTAGAAAATTATACATTTATTGGAGAGGTAAATTGATCAGCTAGCTTTTCCTTAACGATCATATATACCCCTTTTTGAGAAAATTAAGTGGTAAACTTAACATTTTATTACACATTTACACCCATTATATAAATACTAACAAAACAATTAAAATTATAACATTTATTTGCATATTATTCTTTTCGATTGATTTATTATGTTGTGGGATATGTTGCATTTATATACAATATATTTTTTAGTATATGTTCTCGTAAGCAAAGTCAGCAATATATGTTGCGGGTATATACAATATATGTTCAATATATGTTTTCGTTACCCGTGCTTTGTGCATCATTTGTTTATCATATACTTTACATAATTTAAAATAATTTATTAAAATAATGATTATAATTAATTTATGATACATATATGATAAGTTATATGCTGAACAAAAATTCAAATATCACAATTATGGTTTAATAAAAATACTATGAAAATAAAAAATCAGATTATATACTGAATATATACATAATATAAACGGAATATATACTACATGGAATTGACATAGAAATGAATTGACACGCAATATACCCATATTCAAAATCCCATAATTTGGGGAGGCTGTTACACTTAATTTGGTAACTGAAAATATCCTAATTTGGTGTTTACTTAAAATATCCTAATATGGTGTATATTTATAATTAATTGGAATAGAATTGGTAAAGTTACAAATAAAGTTTGCCCAATGGTAAAATATATATATATATATATATATATATTTTTTTCAAATCATGTGTATAAATAAAAATTCCCCTATATTTTTTTGCATTTGGGCTTTAAAGCCTGAAACACTATCAAGCTAAAACAGACTAAGTTACATAATAAAAATGTGCATCGTAACAACAAAATAGCCAGTCAAAAAGTATTATTATATGAGTTGTGGTCCTACCCGGCTCG